AGGTGAAGTGTGCATAACAACTCTGCTCAACAAGAAAAGAAGAAAAATCCACTCTGGGATGCTGCAAAGGCACCACCCTCCATAGGAGGGTAACCTATTTGGCAGGTCAGCTGGCCTTCTCAGGGACCACATGTCTTTTGCCAGTGCAATAAGGAGTGATCTACCTGATTAAGAAGCAGGCACAACAAGCTCAAAAGGGAGTCACAGCCAACCCTGTGCAGCTGTGAGAGATGTGTGTGGCATTTGGCCTTGAAACCAACAGCATGTGTACAGTGCAAGAGAAAACATGGGGGAGGGTGTCCTTCTTGGCAGGATCACTGAGACTACTGTCCTTTCAAGTTCAGGATCCTGTTTCCAGGTGCAGCCAACTCAAAATGCTTGAAAAGGTACAAACCTCTTCCTTATGCACTGGTTTCTCTTCCCTTCCCAAGAAATGCCATACTGACACCCGTCAACAAGTTTGACGGTAGCTTGATGTCCAATCGAGACTGCTGCTGCAGCTGGCATGCACGAAGGGAAAAACACAAGGACTTCTTGGACGATTTGTGCATTTCATAGTGTCTTGTGCTTGTGGCATCAAAGCACATGGACAAGCTCAGAGTGCATTCAGGTTATCTGATTTAACTCACAACTCCTGCATTTGATTTTGTAAACACGAGCCATTAACTGTATGTAAAAGCCAAGCAGGCATTCAGCATTTCACCCTCAAAGGAAACCAAAGGTCTTTCTTCCAACGTAGTAGTAGTAATACTACATTGTAAGCAAGATGCAAAAGGTGAGTAAGACTAATAAGAAGACCACAGTGAACACAGAGATACTATATTCTACTGAAATGACAGGATGAGCACCAGCTTAAACTAATCATCATCAGCTAACATCACTGCCACCTGCTATGAACAACTGTCAGCTTCCTAAATGCCCTGTAACAAACTCCCATCCTAACCTGACACTGCTGACGTACAGCTTCACAAAACAGGTTCCAGTGCACACTGCCATGCAAATCTGACACAGGTTCAGTTTTTGGAAACCTGGAGAAACAAACTGTTCTTATGAAATACAAGCTATTATTATGAGTGCTTTAAATTAGACTAGAAGAGACTTCAGCATTATAGAAAATGTCACTTGCTTTTCTTGTAATGTTTTGATAAATTCTCCCCACTCTCAGTCATCATCCATTAGAAACTAAAAGCTTCTTCCACCTCCACTGTTCTTGCACAAAAAAACCAAAAGGAAGCATTTGTAGCATTCAGTGGAAAATTGCCACAGTTAAGAAGTGCAGTCACAGATTTTAGGATTTGGAGTCAGAACCTGGCGGAAGGGGGAACTCTGAAAGAACCTCACCAGCTACAGATTTGTGAGGCCAAAAAGCAGCACAGTGCACTCATCTCCTGCCTACCACAGGCCATAACAATTTTCTGCACCTTTCAGCAATTAGCTTTGCAGTTTAATAAGAAAAATTGTGCCTTATTTGTACTTGAAACATGTTTAATTTCACCTCTGAATCACATCATCAGGCTTTTGTCTGCTAGACAGTATCCATGACCACAGTCTTCCTGTAGAGGTGGACTATAATCCATTCATACCTTAATCTGAGTGGTGATAAGGAAAACAGAGTTCCTGAGGTTAATCAACATTTATACAGTGTTACTAATTTATCTGCAAAGGCATTAGAGTATGTTTACTTAACAGTGGCACTTCAAAGGGGCCTAGTTAGGACAGGACTCCTTTTGGCCAGGTACTAACACCTCTAGAGTGCTCGAGTCTAGCACTGAAGTAGTAGTTAAGGTTTCATATTATATGGTTATCAGGGGGGCAACACCATGATCAGCAAGGTAGTTTGGTTTTGGGGGTGGTGGTGTTGGGGAGGTGGAGTAATGACAATGCTCACTCCTTGCAGTCTCCATGAGCTACTCCACATTTTGCTCAATGTGGGGAATGAAAGTGCATAACTCATAGTAGTGGAGGATCACCTTTGTGCTCTCCCTTCGAAAGACAAAGGAAAACAAAACACAGCTTTACAGTAAAGGTTGGGACATTATGAAATGGGAATCACAGAATCATAGAATGGTTAGGTTTGGAAGGGACCTTAAATATCATCCAATTCCAACCCTCCTGCTGTGAGCAGGGACACCTTCCACTAGACCAGGTTGCTCAAAGCCTCATCCAGCCTGGCCTTGAACACTTCCAGGGAGGGGGCAGCCACAGCTTCTCTGGGCAACCTGTTCCAGTGTCTCACCACCCTCACAGTGAAGGATTTTTTCCTAATATCTCATCTAAACCTCCCCTCTTTCAGCTTAAAGCCATTTCCCCTTGTTCTATCACTATGTACCCTTGTAAAAAGTCCCAACCCAGCTTTCATGTAGGCCCAGAAAGACCTTCCTACTGAAAACCTTCTAAACCTGAATTTGCCTCATCACAGTATCTACCTGAAAGATGAGGTGGATGCTGCTTCTCAAATGGGAAACACGGTCTGCGGTGATGTGCACAGTACTGCTGCTAAAGTTGCTGCCTTTGCAAATATTGAGGAGGGAATTGTTACAACTGCATAACACCAGTAAAGACTCACTTCACCACAGACATCCAGTAAGGATCCCAGCCCAGTTCTGTTGGCTTACATGAGGTTGTCAGCTTTTGTCAAATGACAAACAGCCTTGTGTGGGAGGGAAAGCTACCAGTCTGGAGGGAATAATACCCACTGTAAATTATGGTAATAGTTTTATAGTCTCTGCTAGTTAAAACAATTATTTTTTTCCCCACCTTCCTTCAGCTTCAGAGATATAAACCATGCGTTCCAGAAGTAACAGCACAGAAAGCCCTACCAGACCAAAACTGAGCCAAAGGCCAAAGGACCACCATAAAGAAGAGGTTGATTACAGTGGGAGAGGAAATGTGCAAAGAAGGCAGAAGGACGATGCAGCCCAAGCCAGTACCATCCCAAGAAGCCCTCAGGCAGAGAAAAAACAAAGAAGTTCTTTAAAGAAAAGAGAAGATCTCTCTCGTGATGATTTGTTATTTCTTCTTAGTGTCCTTGAGGGTGAATTACAGGTGATTTATTGTCTTATTTTATATCGCAGGCTGAAACACACTTCCCTCCCTGCCCCCTATTTACTGCAAACACATGCTGCTTTCATGTTAAGGAAACACACTACCTCATTGGATACAGAAGGACAAACAAATTCCAAAGTACATAAAAATGCAAATTACAGCTATTACTGTAGCTATCAGCCAGAAAAGGTGATCTTTACACCACACCTAAATGCAAATAAAATTTATTCTCAGTGTACCTGTATCACACTAAAAACACTCCTGGTCCACTGTGAAGGATCACAGCTCTCAAAGCAGAGAACTCACAAAAGTTTCCTACTGTGCTGCCCCATATTAAGTACTTTGAATACAAAGTATTTCTCACTGTAAAACCAATATGGAGAAAATATTAGACACCTCTAAGATATGTTACTTATTTATTTCTTATCTCCTCTCTCCTGTGAGGTCATGAGCATTACTCCCTATGAATCAGTACGTGCCAGATTACAAGAGGTAACTCACTCCACAGTATTCTAACATATTTTGCTAGAAAAATCAAAGTAGCCAATTTATTTCCCATAATATGAAGCATAAGCGTTGCATGTCACTTAGCCCACAAGATTCTGGATTCTGAAGAGCAAGCATTTTTCTTGGAAAAGGAGCCAGCTGCCAAGTGGTAAATGATGCCTAACCTGGTCAAATGTAATTTCAGGAAGTGGGAAACAGATTTCCAGTGAGCAGGAAGAATATTTCTGTGGCAGGCTGATTGCACAGAAATACTGACAGTCACTTTAAACTGCTCATAGGCAGAGGGAAAAAAAAAAACAAAACTGGCCAAAGTGGCACCAATGGGTACATCACAGGGTTTCAGAGTTGATTACCCAGGTAGTTCCCTTCTTAAAATATGTGTATATATTTACATAACAATACCTACATGCTTAACAGAACATACATGCAATATGAGGATTTGATAGATGTACCAATTTCTGAGGGCAGATCCAAGGCAAACTTATGCAGAACATTTCATTATGCAAACAGAAGAATTTCCATGTTCGCAAAATGTTTATCTCCTGCTCACTTGCCCTTTCTTAATTGAGATTAAAATTCAGATGTCACACACTCCTCTAAAATATATATATATATTTATATTACACACACACTTCACTACACTTGTGTAATATACATATATCAATATTTGTATATATAAGCGCACACACACTTCAGTTCTTAAGATTTAAAACTGGAACAGAGTGAAATGAGAAACTAGAAAACAACGAGCCTGACATTAACATTTTCAATCATGTCCGACATTCCAAAGGAAACATTATGAATGAAAAAAAGTGAGAAGTCATTTTTTGTTCCTAACCTTCCACCTCCTCTAATGCCAAGTCAAATCTCTGAAGATCAGCTGTCAGTCCAACCATAATTAAGTTTCAAATTTAGATACCATTACTCTCTAGTTCCAGAACATATAAGATGCACAAAGATCACTCTTCTAGGTTTTTTTTTCCCCCACAATGTTAAGGATTAGAAATAGATTATTTTATTTTTTTTTTAATCAAAGTCACAAACAGGGAAACAGAAGTGCTCCAGCCAAGAGCAGTCAGTCTGAAAGTGTTACTCTCTCCTGACACATCTCTCTTTCCGATTTCCTCCCCTCCTATTCTACCCTTTCAAGATTAGCATGTACTTTGTTGTGTTTTTAACGGAGATCATTGCAAAAAATCGATGTTTGAGACAGTCCATGTAGTTATGTCACCATAATGGAGGCAGGGGGCAACCTCCTCCACCAGAGGATACAGGGAAAAAGAAAGAGATGGACACTGTCCTAGGGAAGGTGGTGACCTAAACCAGCTTCCCTCACAGTGGAAATATTCACATAAGCAAACATTCTAATGAAAAAAAACATTATCATTAGAAGCAGGACTTGGAGGCAATTAGCACAATATTTGCAGCAGGTATTCTGTCCCTTCCAACTTGGCATCTAGGAGCTAGTAACTTTATAGCAAAGAAGTGTTCTTGGTTTGTTTTTTTCTGTTTGGTTGGTTGGTTGGGTTTTTTTAAGAGCAGAGAGAATTTATAGATCACTTCAAATACTGCAGATACACACAGCATGTTTCTCCAGCATGGAGCATGGACTTAGAGAGCACCGCTGTATGACAGGAAGAAGGTGTGAAGGTACATACACCTGCCAGCTTGCACAAGAATTTCTGAAATACATACATAGAAAAACATATGAAAAACATACCTGAAAAGATATTATATCTACTCTTTGGTAACAGGATGTCTTCAGATATTGTATAAAATTAAGGAAACAAATGTAATGACATTAAGAAAGGAAAAGTACAATACACATTTTCAGGTTATACTTTTTGAAACTACAGTATTTTTGGAAACCAGGTAACACCACCTTTTCTTAATCATTATCTTTTAAAAAGCTTTATTTTTTTAGCATAGACTCACAGTTTGAGAACATCCTTACAGCAGTTACTTCCAAAAAAAGACTTGCTGCTGCAAGGTTGCTTATTACCTGAGGGCATGTACATGAGTGTGTGCACATCTACACATCTATAAATGCATAAAGCAGAGTGTCACACACATATTTATGTGTACGCAGGACCCCACTGCCAGCTTTGTAGGCAATTAATCTTGTTTTAAAGAACTGCCATTATTGCATGGCTTTGGAATGCGTGTTGTGATGGGTCACATCCCCTGCACCCCACACCTCACTACGTTCACTGCTCAGAGGAGCTCAGGGTAACAAAAGAAGCAGACAACCCCAGGTGGGTTTGAACTACAGAAACCACGTTTGTATCCAGAATATACAGAATGTACAACACTTCCAGGCTTCAAAAACCATCCCAACATATTTCACTAAGAATTTAAAATTAATTTCTAATATCACAAGTCACATTTGGCCCTGAAATTTTGTGCTATAAATGCTACACACTGGCCCAGAAACAGCAATACAATCGAATCACTAACAGAGTACTTAAGCATTGACGAGGGTTCTGCAGATGTTGGAATTTATGCAGAACTCATAAAATACAAAGACCAACACTTCCCTCATGCTTTTTAACTGTCTTCATGTTACTATTTTGGGGTGCTTTACATACATAGCATTCTTTAAAAAGTTTTTTAGTTTTCTTAAAATCGAAAGTATAAAGCTGACGTGTAAATACACATATACAGTTTAACAAAATAAAATAAATCTAACTTTGTGTTTCTGCAGGCTCAAGATGAAGTTATAGGAGTACTTAAGGCTGAAAAAATTGACTTGGCTTTGCTTGAAGCACGATATGGCTTTGTTACTCCCAAGAAGGTGTTAGAGGCCCTCCAGCGAGATGCTATTCAAACAAAGGCAGAGCAATGGCAAGAAGATATCTACGAAAAGCCTATGGGAGAGGTATGAACACATAATTGATATTTAACCATAGTTCCCACCAAATTCAACAGAAAATATCTCACTGACTTCAGGGAAAGAAAGTAAATGAGCTCTAAATATAGAATCTAAGATGAGTATAAGTGACAGCAGAACAAAGTCCAAGGTCCAGTGGTGCCCCTAATGAAATCAGGTATCTAATGATCCTCATTTATACTGTGCACTTGGGGATTTAAACATCGACAGACATGATTTTGTCTTGCTCAAACTCTGATAATCAGCCTTCTACTTTTGACACCATCACTTTTTTTTTTCCCTTTCTGTTATCCAAATTCACAACCCAAACAAACAGATGCCTCCGCATTCATCTCATTGAGGCCATCTCACCGACGGCTGGTAAGGGCCATTCAGCAGCAATGACAGACACAGCTGTCTACCTTTACATACCCCAGCTCCCACTAATTCTGGGGGAGTCACAGGTGTACCTGCTCAGAATGAGCAGTTACGCTAAAGAGCTGTCAAAAGAAACTTAATCCAGGCAGAAATCTAATATTCTCACATTATACCTAAGTTAGCTAAGTAACTTTTAGTTTAATTACACTGCAGCAGCAGCCATACCTTCTGAACAATGTTATCTGAATTTCACTTCTGCCCTGCAGTGCAAATCACTGCATATTAAAATCCTTACATACCAGAATATGTGGGTTTTTTTCCCCCAAGTGTCTCCCCTTGAACCTGGTCTAGTGGAAGGTGTCCCTGCTGATGGCAGGGGGGTTGGAACTAGATGATCTTTAAGGTCCCTTCCAATCCAAACCATTCTATGATTCCATGATTCTATGAATTTAGATAAACATTTTTTATTATGCTTCTCAGTACTGATAATAATCACAAAAATAAAAGCATATTATGAATAAAATTCCCCTAACAAGTGTTTTCCAAGCTTTCTGAACAGAAAGGTACCTAAGGATACAAGAGTTCGTTTCAGAGAAAATTATGTCAGGCAAAAGGTCAACAACACTCATTTCAAAGGCTCAAAGGTTAAAATCTCTGGCTATAATCTGAAACAGATAAAGTTCAACCATGGAGGTTAATTTATTTTAGAACACTGTGGCATTATGTCACAGAAATTTTGAGCACAAATGTAAAAGATTTGAAGTCCAAAAAAGTTTGAAAACATAAGTTCAGTCTGTTACTTTACGTAAGTTTATACACGCTTTTTCCTTCTTACACTTAATGGCAGAGAAAGGATTTCTAACACCACTCAATCTGGCAATTCCAAAAGGCAAAGATAAACATCCTGAGAGCAACTGAAAGGCTAGAAGAACCACTGGCACTTCGTATATCTTGGTAAACCAAAGGATGCCGTAATTGGCAGGCATTCCACAATTTCAGTTCCAAAATCCCCCCCAAATTAAATCAGAGATCCATTTAGTTTTCGTTTGGATTTTTTAAGCATTCATAAAAAACAAGGGAGGTGGAACCAGCCATGAAGTATTGGAATCAACCATTTAAACCCCCCCTTTGCCACCATGACAATGTACCTTTGTATCTGCCTACAAAATCTCTGCTGATCCAGTTCCTCTAGAGCATGTGTGTCTCACCCTTGACAGCTTAGCTTTATAGCTCTGAACACAGAGGCTCTTCTCAAAACTCAAGTGAAAACAGCGAATTTCAGGTCGCTATCTGCAAGAATACTGGCCCTTTAACTTTCTCTCACAACTCACTCATCTACCCTAAACTTTATGAAGTTCCTTGGCAAATTTGGTTAGGAAAGTACTGCAGAGGGAAAATTTGGTGACTGGACAGCTGTACTCACTAGGAACAGGATTCACAAGTGAAGAAATGTAGCAAAGTACAAAACAGTATTAATACATCTACCTTTGCAAAACCTATGAGGAGTGTGACAGACCATGTCTTACTTTAAAAAAAAACAAAAACAAAAAAAACCCCACAAAAAACCCAACAAAAAAACGAAAGCAGAGGGTTTTTTCAGCCAAATTTGCTCTACAGCTATTACAGCTATTTCTTTCTGCAACCTAACAAGTGCCAGATAAGCTTGCTCTAATTCCTCACACTTGAGGAGACAATACATTGTTTTATGTTTAAAGGAGCTTAAAAGAAGAGAAAATAGACTTTTAGTTTGGTTTTGCTTCTGTCTGACATAAAGGCTTGAAAAGGTTTTCCATCTTTGCATGGTTTATAAATTTAGATCGAGTCAGTTACTGATGAAAAATCTGGCCTCAGATCAATTACCACTTCTCTTGAATAGAAAATGAACAGTATTCACCATTCTAGTAAATACAGAATAATAGTATAAGAACTATTATTATTATAGATTCAAAAAGGAACAAATTAATTAAAAAAAAATAAAAATCCATCAGAGGTGGTGATGTGGGGGAAAAAGAGATAAAGAGGAAAATACCACAGAATCTATGGTGTCTTTTCTCACATTTCAAACCTTCATGGAATTAGAAAGCCAATTCTGGTTTCTAACTCTGCCCAGCTTCCAATAACACAGTCAAAGAAAAAAATCTGGTGCCTGACTGTTTGAAATGTGATGAACAATACTTCCTCCCACTTGGAGAACTCCTCTAAAAGCAGCAAAACTAGAAGAAAGCCTGTATTCTGTATCCATCAAGGATAATTCAAAATTTAACCAATTTTTAAAATCGCAGTGCCAATCAACTCGGGAAAAGATGCGTCCTCATCAGCCTTTTAACAAAGTATATCTGATTGCATCATCACAACGTCTCACAAGTGTTGCTCACAACCTTCCAACGATGACAGCTGTAGGGTACCAATACATTATGGTCATAGGAAGAGACTGAAACTATAATGTTGACAACGTGGCATTCAGGAAAAGCAGACCAACACATCCACATGGAAATTTGGCTCAGCTAGGGCTCAAAAAGGCAAGGGAAGAACTGCTCCCACAATTCTAAACTCAAGATTATACGTTTATAAACAATAATCATGATGGTACTAGTAACAGGAATAATATTTCACTGAACTTGGGATAAAGAAATATAACTAACCTGGATTTTATTCTGGCACTGTGCCAAACACAGAACAGTCTAAAAAGAGAAACACGAAAAGTTCTGTTCCAATGTAATGGATATGAGACACATCATTCCAGCTTGACTTCAGACACAAGTTAGTGGCAAAATGTATTTAAATGACTAAATTCCTGGGAATTTTTAGCTTGCTGAACTATTCACAGTTACATAAGACCATGCCTCTTATATTCCATTGTATTGTACAGTATGTTCATGTATTAATCCTAGCAAAAAGCCCATATGGTTAGCAAGAACAAAACTAATCAATTAAGATTTTATCACTTTAATTTTCAACAGAATACATTTATACTGCTGCTTATTAGTCCTCTCAGTTTTTAGCCAAGAACTGTATATGCTGAGTAAATGTGTGTGCATACATATAAATGGATGCTTCTGCATGTGGAGATTTAGCATTTGGACAGAGAAATGTGAGGAACCAGGGGCTGCTGAAGATCGTTCCTGTGAGAGGATCTCTCACTAGCAGGAGTGCACACAACTTCCCTCTCTCTTCTCTGCTGGATTATGTTGCAGTCAGCCATAAGATCTCACAGGGAAAATGGAGGAGTGACATTTTCTCCTTAGGGAAGTGCCCTTATCTTTCAGAGGGAAACAACAGAGCTTCCAAACAAAACACACAGAAGTGCAGGAACCAGTACCAGATTCTGCTCCGCTCGTCCTGCAGGGAGGGAGAAGCATGCTGCACTATACCACACACAAGTGTCACAAGGCCAACCATACCCATTATGCAGCTTACATGCAGATCTTAAGTGTCCTCATTACTTGTGATGCCGGATCTGCTGCCTCACCAATTCTCCTCTCTATCACCCACCTGTACTAGGAGACAGGCACAGCACCTCTTCCCTTCTCTCCTGAGTGGAATCCCAAGCTCTCGCTCTCTTTCCTGTCCCCAGCCACAACAGCCACATGCTAGCTGTGAATGCTCATAGTAAAAATTATTTGACAGCATTCTTGAAACAAAAATATAAACAAATCTTCCAATCTGAGCAACAGGAGAAAACTGCAACATGAAAACAGCTTTGATGCAGTAGCTTATTTACTCATCTCTCATTGTTTCATGTAAGCAGGTCTCCCCACTGTTCTTTTACTCACTTTCAACTTCCTAGTTCCCCCTCCCTGCCTTGAATACACACCTCTCCCATTCCAAAATACCAGTGTGGAATCCAAACTGCTAACCTCAACACTGACAAAAGCACAACTGCAAAGTGAAAGGCACTGGCATTGATCAGCGAGAACTGCAAAACAAACCTGGAGTTACTGTCTTTCTTCTTGCATACTTGCTGCTTGGATTACCACTTGAACTAACCTCTCACAGCCATTCAACAAACAGTCTAGAGCAAACAAAATATACTGAACCCATAAAACACTGCTGGCAGGTCCCATTCCTTCACACCCAACAGTGCAGAAGCAAGACTATTTTCTATTTGGTTAAGGTTGTTTGTGTTGATGACTAACCCTCATCTCCACCAGGCATTTATGTTTGGAAACAGGAGTCATCTGATTTACGATGAGTTTGTAGCCAGAAATTTCAGTGTTTTCTCATGACAGTAATTTACACATCCCCTCAGATTCTTACATATACTTTTGGAGCAGTGGTCCAATCCATACAAATGCATCACTTTACTTCCCTAACCCCATCCATTCAGACTGTCTGCCAAAAGAATCACAGAATCACAGAATATTAGGGATTGGAAGGGACCTCGAAAGATCATCGTAAATTCACACCTTTGCCTTCTTCCCCACCTGACCCCGCACTGAGGGCTGAGACCAGCAAGCACTATCATATAAGGCTGATGCCCAGTTCCCATCAATTTAAGAAAAACAGGGAATAGCTGCAAACAGAACTTCATCAAAACAAACAGGAAGCAGGTTGCTTTCAGAAAACGGTAGATATTCACCTGACAGCATGACCTTTAAAAAGGCAAGGATCAGAAACTCAGGTGATGGTGCTCCATGCACCTGTGAATAGCTGTTCCAAAAAAACCTCTGAAGTCTTCGAGGGGGAGGAAGGTTGATACAACACACTGAAAATTCTCTCATTCTGGTAAGCTAGTATCTCAACAAAAGATTTTAAATTTAGAAATTTCCAGTTCTAGTGGAAGGAAGAGCGTGGAGAAGTTAAAAATGTCCCGTTTTCTTCAACCTGACCTTTTAAGCCAATTCAGTTTTCAAGCTCTGTAAAAGACGTAGCAAACAGTCAAGAGATTACTGTATAAGGTGGCACCTGCTTACTGAGCAAGCTTGCACATGCAATGGTTTAGGTAAGAAATGTTTTCCCAAGAGGTCCTCCTTCAGGATCATAATTCCAGAAAGCATTGATCTTGCTGGTGTAAAAGTGTGCAGACTATGAATGAACAAGATGAAAGACCTTAACAACCTGCTGGAAGAGCAGACAAAAAGGACAGTCATAGGTTTCTTTACTTTTTTTGATCATGCATCAAACAAGCTCAGCTATGTCACAACAGAAAAGACACTGTCTAACATCATAAGCAGAAAGAATGGGCAATTTTAAAAATGTTCCACATTCCTGTTGGAATATTTTGACTCAAACCATCTTTAAAGTCCCATCAATAGTTCCTTTTTCCTTATTCATAGCAGCATCACCAAAAAAAGTTAACAATTGTTTAGGAGAAACATAAGAGAATATATAAAGCTGAAAAAGAAGCTGAGGTAAGCAGATGCAGACTTGGAAGCCCATGTAGAAATTGAGGATATTCACATTCATTCAAGAAACTCATGTTTAGGCATTTAGCTCTTTCTGTCACCGATTCTATCAGCCAAACTGTGAATAAACATGAGGAAAAGATAATTAATCATACTCCTCAGTATTAAATTGTCCAAAATAAGCAGTGGCCCTAACAATCTGAAACCCCACTGTTTCTTGTGGCACATGAAATTCCTTGTGGGGGAAACACTGGAGAACCCAGAACCAGCCTTGCTGCCCACACTGCCCATTTGTGAATCCTCTCCTATTAACAGGGTAAAGCACTGCAAAGCGGCTTGAACTATTAGAACAGACTGTGGTTAAAAGGAGACACTGGGCTTTGAGCTCAAAATTTCTCTTCTCCAAAACAGATACAAGGATTCCTGTGCTGACCTGATGAGGGAGGCAGTCTCCACAGGGGAAGGGGAACGAGCCGGGGAACAAAGATTCTTACCAATATAGAATCTTCCCATGTCTTTAGTTGGCTTCCAGTGAGCACTCCTCAAACTTCAGCTAGATCAGTACTGCCTAAGGAGGAAAACTCCTTCATGGTTCATACACACACACTTGCATAACTTTGTCATATACTGAATTCAAAATTATAAAAGAATCCTCAGAATTATAATTTTCTCTCAGTTTGTGGAAATCATTTTGTTTAACAGCATAAGTCCAGTGAACAGTTATGCCAATACCTCTGTGGTTTAGAAAAACTAAAAATTACTACCAAAACCTAAAATAGATTATTTAAATTAAAATATCACTATATAAAAACATTTAGAAGCTCAGCAGAAATCCTTGGGGAAGGGGAGGGAGTTTGATGTTCAACCTGTGCTATAAAGGTGCCATCTGCAAGGCAAACCCCTTCATAATGTGTGAAATTTGAGAAACAGAAGAGGAAATGCCACCGTTAAATAAAAATACTCCCAACCATTTCAAAATTTAGCGCTTACTTATTCCAGAAACCCAGAGCCAGGCTCAGAGTAAGCACAGGAGACAGGTTTGTTTCCCATTCTTGATTCTATCATGCATTTACTGTGAAACCAGAGGAAAACTGCCTTTTGATCTATCTGCCTACCTTACAAAGACAATTCAATGTGCTTACTTCCTATACAGCTAAAAATGAGGCAGCTACTTCTATTCAACCAAAAGTCAGTCTACTTCTGTGTGAAGCAAAGGCTTCTTCTGCCAAGACATCTGTTTCTCTACCACAATGATCAATGAGAAAAGCACAGCCCTGGGAACAGTAACTGTTAATTAGTACCTGTTGAGGATCAGTTATGGCAGGAGGAGGAACAGAAGGTGTCTGAGGGTCCTGCAAAACAGTTCCTTAACTTATTTTTTCAATTTGTCAGAATTAGACTGACAGAACTAAATAACCCTTTCCAGACAGACACCAGAGGACCTGGCCATTAGGCTATTAAATGCATTTCATATTATTAAGTTTCTCAAAATCTTTCATTAATGAAAGCCTGAGCAAGTAAGAGTTTCAAAAGACTTCAAGTGTTTTTGTTTGTTTTTTGTAGCTTGATAAAGTTGTACAGAAACAGAAAGAAACTCACAGACGAATGCTGGAGCAACTTCTAATGGTAGAAAAATCACACAGACAGACACTGTATGAACTAGAAGAAGAGAAGAGGAAGCACAGCAAATACATGGAAAAAAGTGATGAGTTTACAAACTTACTGGAACAAGACCGTGAAAGGTAAGGTTACCTCTTGCCATAGTACGAAGAAATACCTAGAGTTTAAAATTACATGTAAGGATCTGTCCACCTTCTTATTCTGCATCCACTAAAAATCAGAAATATTTGCAGAGTTGTATTTTGAGAGTTCAGCTGTGAAATCACAACTAATTACTCCTAAATAACAGCAGTGTCTACATCTCCACCAGCAGGCAAGGTAGGTCAAATGGTTCTCAGATTCTTCAGCACTGTGGCAGGACAACAGGTATGTTCTCTACAGAGAATACAGGGGAATAGGCAAAGGTGTAAAGGCACAACCAACATGAAGCAGGTGAACCTTTCAGCACATTTAGGATGCTCAGTGTACATTACAGTATTAAGTAACAGAATATAAAATCAGGTATGCAGCCTTTGATTGCAGAAGAAAAAGACATCAGGAAAAGTAGGTGGTGTTGGACAGACCATAGAAATACAGACAGCTGAAGCGAAGGCAAAGGGTAACTTACAGAAAGCTTTGAAAATAAGAACACCATAAAGTTCTCATATCAGGATTGGTATAAAAACCATAAATCCAACTTTATTTTTAAGTGCAACCTAAAAGTGTCACAGCTTGTTTAAGCACAGTGTAAGGGTTTCAATACCACTTCTCAGAAGAAGGATTAAGAAGAATTTAATATCATTTACTGTCTTTTTAAAAAAGCCACTTTAAACTGCAGCTTCTCTGAATCTGCAGTAAAACTGAACATATTCTAAGGTGGGGGGTGGAAATTGAAGAACATTTCCTGTTCCCTGGATAGCTCCTCCAGAAGATAGGAGAATATTGTCTCTGTTTCCTTTTGCTTAGGAACAGCTTCCAGATGGAAATGTTTGGGTGTGAGAACATCAAGCCTATTCCAAACTCACATTATGCACAGATAATTCTTCCCCTGCTTCGCCTGTGTAACATCATGTTCCACATATTTTGGCAGTGCTCACCCTTTGCACTACACCTCTCCTGCAGGTCTATCAAAGATAGCACATATGCTTCCCACCAAGTACACAGCCAATTTATAGATTGCAATTAAAGCAGATGGGGAAAAAATCCCTCTGCTTCTCAGAGAAATCTACACAGATGCCGGCAAGCACAGGCACACACAGAAAAGCATCCACGGTCCTCTCACAAGGCACAAAACTGACTTTATTCCTCTAAGAACTGTTTTTGTGAAAAACCATCATATCAGGAACCAAAACCCAAGATGAATGGAAGTTTTCATCTCTGCTGTCTTTTCCTCAAAACTATGAGATGCTCATCTCTTAGATACAGAGCTAAACATCTACGGTTGCTAAGTGTCAGGATGTTTCATCAGACGTGCTCATACAGCATGAAAAGCTGCACAGAAGGAAAGACTAAGCATCAGTTTTTGTATAGTTTTTTCTTGTGAAAACAGGGTTGACAAGGGATTAAAACTCTTCCCTGCCCCTCCTCCATATTCCCCCCAAGAAGACTACAAACTATTTTCTACTATTATCTGCAACATTTAGTCTATCTGCCTGGAAAAAGGGGTGAGGGGAATACTGAGGTGCCTAATGTAATAATAGATTTTGGATTAAGTCTCAATTTTTGTATTTTCTTTGGAGCACGTATTTTATGTGGAAAACCTTAAGGGGGGGTGATGTCACATGTTGAGCTGATTCCAAAATGTTTGCCAAGTAATGTCGCCATCAAGACCTCCACGCAATTGCTTTCCATAACAAAACAAAACAAGCAAAAAAAAACCCCAAAACCCAACCAAACAAAAAAACCCCCAACACTAACCCAAAAAACCCACAACCAAAAAAAAACCATTCAGTAAATTGAGGCACAGCTCTTTCTACATTAGCCTGCCTGACCTGACATTTGGAACACACACCCCTACACAAAGTGACCCTTTCTTTCATTTCAAAAAGCTTAGTTCAATTTAAATCTTCTCAGGATGTGAATTTTGCATTTGGATTAAGAACAAATGGAACTCTATAAAAAGTTTCATACATAAAAAAATGACAAATAAATTTTTGTTTTCCCCAAATTCAATTAAAAAAAATAAATCAGAAAAGCATTAAATATTCATCAATGAACTCTCTTATTTTTTCAGCTAGAAGCAGTATTGTAAGCATGGAAGGGTATATAACATTCCTAACAGTATTTCAGTTTCAAAGCAAAATCCTCAACTTCCATTCAATTAGTCAAAAAAAATCTTGCTTTTATCAAAGAGCAAGGCTTCAGTATAAGCTAAATATATCCTTGAAGAGTATAGAATGCATGTAAGCCAAACAAGGTACATGAATAATATATCATTATGTGATCAAAATGAAAAAAAATGTAGATGTTATGGGACAGTAATGCTGAAACACTGAAAACTACTCCTGACAGTAAGAATAAACTATCAGTCAGATCCAACCCTTGCATACAATTCCAAATATAATTTTAAATAAGGAGGAGGGAAAGCATGCCAGTATTTACATATTTATATATTACCCTCCACTCCACACAAAAAAAAAAGAAATAAAAGAGTAAAACAGTAAAATTATTAGCACTTACACAGCCCTTTTCCTCTGCAAATCTCAAGGAGTTTTAAATATTATGAAAGCACAGTTATTCTCCTTTTCAGAATGCTGAAAGGAAATGTGAGTATAAGTGGAAGAAACCAGTCACAGGTACCTTGGGTACAAGGGTTAAATTGGAGGGAAGGAAGAAATCTCCCAATGTATAGGTGTGTCCCATCTCCAGATTTTCTATATACTATACAGACTATCAACTATACAAAGGGTAAAGTTTTATTATGAACATACATCAGTTAAATAAGTGAATGTTGTTCAACAGGATAGGAAAAAAAATAGCAGTTTGCTAATAAGGAATATAAATAGATTTTTAAAGGCACTTATGATAAATGTTGCTCACAGGAATTCAAATACCAGCATAAAACTTTGTAGGTTGGTATAGCAGCAATTCATAAGACCTCTAGTTAAAGGATCATCTACTAGGACAAGGGGTTGTTTTTTTCCCCCCCCTACAGGGAGGAAAGCCCTCATGAGTTTTTGTTTTAGCGCTGAATTCACATTCACAAAGGTCATATAGAGAATGCAGTCCAAAGAAGAAAATACAATTGTTTACATATGAAATAATCCTAACATTTCCTAAAAAGAAACAAACTCCTTATGCTCTAAGTAAGTGAAAAAACCTAAGCCAGCCAACCAAACTCTATTCCACTGTATCAGACATTTCTTCTTGAAACATCAAGTAAGGGGCATTTTCAGTGTTAAGATCAAAGTTATTATTATACCCACCTGAAGAATTATCATTCACCAAGCATAAAAAAATGGAACCTAACCTGCAAGTCTCACAACTGCAGCCTTTCTCATTTAACAAAACACCATTAAACACCAGGCTTGTTGCTCCAACTGCTGCTCCCCTCAAGGTCAGTCACTTAATCCGATGTCCTGTTGAGTGATACGCGCTAGCAGGGATCTCTGGAGGTCTCCAGCACAACCTGCTGAATGCAGGGTTAACTTCACAGTCACATCAGGTGGCTCAGACCCCTGTCCAGCTGACTACTGAAGATCTCCACCAGCACAGTGATTCTGCTGGCTGCCTGGGCTCCTGAGGCAATCTTTGCCATCCTCACCAGGAGACCCTTTCCCTCTGTTTCATTGTAGGCATCATTCCGGTCTGGTTTCTGCTCCATGTTCACCTGAAACTGCTCTCATTAAAGGCTCAATAACTTCTCTTCTGGCAAACCACTGAACCTAATCTCTCTTCACTGTGTCTGATCTTTTGGCTGCCTTGGACACAAATGAGCTTTCAGCACTTCCTTGCCATCTTACCCACACGGAGCTTCTGCAGCTCCAGCTGGACTCATTTCTCTTAAGTGTTTCCACAGTGTACTCTGACTTGGAAACTTCCCATTGTCCACCTCTACTCCGTCCATTGGTCTTATTCTTTAAATCTTCTCTTTATCCCTTCACTGTGCTGCCTCTCACAGAAACTCAAAGCCAGCCATCATCTCTATGCTCATGACTTGAGTCTACTCCCACCACCATCACCCCAACAAATCTCACCATTTGTGAGCAACCTGACGTCATCCCCAACTCTGTAAGACTAGAAGGGAACTCAGTCCTTTATTCCCCTGCCCTTGGCTTTACCGTTAAGATTCTCCATTCCTCAGTTCTTAAAAGTGGGGTAACAAAGTCATACTGCTTGTCACTCAGCCTCTCATACCTAGACACATTTTCTACTCAAGCCTTTCTATATTTATGTCTCACAAATTCTTCTTCATAGCACCTCCAAAAAAATAAAAAGTAGAATTTAAAAAACCCACCACAAAAAAACCCCACACAAACCAAACATATCTTTCTGTCCCTCCAAATAACTAAATTCTTTTCCCAGGTCCTCACTTCCAAAATATTTTTTATCGTTTCCACATTAGCCTTTTCCTGCCTCTATGTCTCTTCCCTGGATGCACTCTCATTACTGCATTAGGCTATGTGTTTCCTCACGTACCTATACATTACACTCGTACCTTCCCATGCAATGTTAATACATGGACTAAACATCACACTAAAAACGTACCAAAATTAAATCATATTATGTTATAATAGAGCTCAGGTATTGAGCAGGTAAGAAATGTGATGATATAAAAATGAGCACTCTAGGTTAAGTGGCTTGGTTGGGGGTTTTTTTTGGGGGGGGTTTTAAAGTGTTAGATGAAAGTAATTGCTACACACAGTAGGTTAAGTGAGCAATGCTTGAAAACTGGGACAGGGCATCAAGGAAACAAGGAACTATGTTCCTTGGCTAAAAGGTGAAGCATGTTAGTATGTTGTCAGTGTAATACTGCTCTACTTTAATTCTGACACATTCATGCATTGGAATAACAATATATTGAGTGTCCAGCTCTGGAAAATTCAATATTTTATAACAGTGGGTATAACTAATATTTGCTGTTTTTCTTAATGAAGCCAATTAAATATTATACGAAGCAGGATCTTATCTCTATAGAAAGCTACAGT